GTCTCTCATCTACAGAAGCTCGCCGTAGCAGAAAACACATCAATTCAACCTGTCAGAGTTGTGTTTATGTTCAAGTTATGTGTTGGTACTGTTTCGGGCCTATAATCGAATGAATTCGATTTAAAATCATAGATAGAATTGTTGATATTTGTTTAATATAAAACACTAATTCCATATTTAATTAGATTAAAAATACACTATTAAATTGGAATATATATTGTATTAATTTATATTTAATTGGTGTTGTTTTATAGTTTAACTAAAAATTATAATATATATATATAGTAATTACATTATAAAAAATAAATGAAAAAGAAGAATTAGCTAAAAACGATATTAATTATTGTTAAATGATAATTATAATAAATATGGTTGTTTTAATATGTATAGTTAGTTAGTTGTATATTTGGTATATTTGTTTATTGTTTAGATATGTTTTTGGAATTGTGTTTAAAATAATATTTTTGCATTGGAAGATATAAAGAGGTTTATTATAAATATTATTTGGTAATCTAAACATTGAAATATATTTAAATAATATATTAGAGAATGATAATAAATTATTTTTAATAATTGAAGGCTTTGGAATTTTAATTTGGATAGGTTTTAAGGTGATTTAGGATGGCTTTATGAGGGTTTAATTAGAGGATTTTATTATATGATTTTATTAAGATTTTATATGGAGGTGGTTTAAGGATGTAAAAATTAAAACTAATATTATATATTGAATTTATGATATATTTTAATATTGAAAATTTTATATTATTTATTAAATTATTTTATTATTATATTAAATTATTTATAAGATGTTTATTGAATTATGAAGAATGTTGGTATTAATGAACCAAATTACAAAAAATATTATATTGAATATATTATATAAAAATGGTTTGTTAATGAATACAAAAAATATTTACCGATAATCTGGATAGAATACTTATATAATTTGAAAAATATAATAAGAATATGTTGTTGCAAAAGCAATCTTTAATTAGTAAAGTCCGGTTTGGGGGGAATTTTATTTTTTTGTGTTAAATTGAGTGTAATTTTTTGTTATATTTTCATGAATATTTGCGGAAAAAAAAAAAATATTTTATGAAAGGCGATGGATTTCTCCGCCAGTTTTTTTATGTATAATTTGATTTGTGGATTGGAAATATGGAAATATAGTTTGTGTAATTTTGGAATTGAAAGATTGTGATTTTCGAGCTGGATTATGGAAATGTATCTTATATACTATGTTTGTATTATGAGGCAAAAATAATTATTTTCGAGATTTTTAATTGATGAAATATTTCTATTTTGAAAATTGAAATATTTATACCGAATTATGGAAAACAACGACAAAATCGTATTATTTTTTCGTATTGAGAAGCTGTGGCTTTTAAGCTGGGGTTGCGAAAGTGTATTTTCATATATTATTTTTGTGATGAAGGGTTTATGAAAATTCTGCGATGGGATCCGCATTTTTTTTTTTTTCTCACGAAGATAACGATTTCCGAAATAAGGAATTTCAGATAATTATTATATTAATTATATAAATGAAAAATATATAAAATAGATCTAATTTTATAATGTATTATATATATTTATATATATCTATAATTTAATTATATATATAATAAAAGAATATAAAATATCCTATAATAAATTATAATTGTTTATTATTATAAATAAATATTATTATTTTAGATATTCTATTTTTATATATTTATTAATTATTTATCGTTGGGTTTCCTTATTGTTTAATATAATTTAATTTTAAATTATAAAGTAATTATATAAATTTTACTATATTAGTGGAGGCCCGTTGCTTTCCAGCAGCGTGCGAGATGAAGTCCATGGCGAAATAAAAATATATTGTAATTTAATGATTATAGATACATATATATGATTATACTCACAGAGATAGACATAGGCAGACCGAGCATATACTTAACAAAAAACGGTTTCGGAATATTTCGACAAAATAAATGATTGCAATTTTGAGCCTTTGCCTTGGACCCTGCCCAAACAAAACATTTCGAAAGATTATGCACTATATTATATTGGAGACCCAATTCTAGAAACCCAAATATCTAAAGACGAGTTATAGATGGAACTTCTCAATATCACCTCAATATATTTCCTAAAATATTGCGAGCGATGCACAAAGCAACAATATATCTCAGGTGCCCGATATCAGCGAATTAATAAAAAGGCGATCGACCAAATAAGGAGAGAATATATTAATGGCCTCGAAAAATCCATATCCATATATAATTATTATAACATATATGAAAAATTCATCGATCGGTTTTCATATTTTCAATTTCTTGTAAAATAAATGCAATATTTCAACCAAAATAACGAAATATCTAAATAGATTATATTTATAACCTCGCAAAAAAAATATCCTTCATAAATATATTCGTTCCATAATAAGTTATACAAACCTCGAAAAAAACCTATAAAAAATATTGTTTTTATATCTCTATAAATCTTTAAATCAAAATACCTCCATATATAACATATCCGAAAATTAAAACAACGACCAAAAGAGTTTCGTGCTTCATATCCCAATAACACCTATCATTAACCTCTATCATGTATTATTATTCAAATTAAAAGAATAGAATAAATCATAATATTATATTAAGCCTTATTTTTTTAAATAATGCCCATACCTAAACATAATATCCTGTAATTTCTATCAACATTTTCCTAATTATTTCCATAAAAATTAAGCCCCAAATTTTATAAATTCATAATCATTAACCTATATAATATCATTTTAATTTCATAAATTTATAAAAATAAAGCTTTATAATATCAATTTCAATTTAAACAATACATCAACGAACAAACAAATAAAAAACAACCAAAAAACAAACACAAAAACACAAACAAACACAAAAACAAAACAAAGACAATACGCAAACATAGACACAAACACACAAACAAAGACACAAAAACACACAGACACGCAGACACAGACAAACAAAAGCACAAACACAGACAGACAAACACAGACACAGACACAAACACACAAACACAAACGCAGACACAAACAAAGACAGAGACAGACGCAAACAAACACAGACAGACAAACACAAGCACAGACAGACAGACAGACAGACAAAAAACAGATTCCAAAGACAGAAAGACCAACAAACAAAAAGAGACAAAGAAAGACACCGACAAAGAGACAGAGACAAAAAAAAAAGACACACCTGCTGCGCGCAGCGCGCCGGATTCTGGTGTCGACATGCCACAAGCTTCGCCTGCGCACGTATATGCGCCCGACTCCGAGCCCGAGAACCGTGATGCACACGGGCTGCAAGAACGCGCGCGCGAGCTCTCGTCTGCGCGTGCCCCAGATGCACGCGGCCGCTGGCCGCTTATCCCCTGACAACGGTTTATCACGCGCTTGTCTCGACGCTACCCCGCCGCTCTCTTTGCCCTCCACGACGGTTGTATTCTGGCCCGCGACCAGGAGGTAGTTGCAGGTTTTCGGCGGCCTCTTTGCCCGATTTGGATTGCTAGTTTAGTTTGGATCGGTGTTTTGGAGGTTAGGGGATGGTTTCCTATTCAATTTCAATATGATCCAAGGGTTCAATTCCCAAACCACCAATCCAAACCAACAATTAGGGGTAAGTTGAGGCGGGTGACAAAAAAGGGCCGAGCTCTCGGGGGGCCAAGGTCCAGGCCGTGGTGGGTGTGCCAAGAACAGAGAAAATCAGAGCCCGCGCTGACAAGATGTTTTTTACAACTCAAGCATCTTTATCATCTCATATGTATCAAAAATGTATACTCGTCGTATGCGAAAAGCATACTACCATTCTCCAAGCACAGGTCGTGAGATGCATTGAGGGCCGGGCTAGTCGCGATAAGGTCACGCCAAAGAGTTAGTGAAAAGCTATCGCCTAAGCAAGATGAGAACGGATCCATGGGGATGTTGGTTTCAAAAGATCCATCCACATACACAATTATTACAAGCGTAAACGAAAACACGATCGACCAGAAAATATCCTAAATGCAAGCAAAACCGAACTTACTTCGCCCAACATATTGAGAAAAATACAATTGGTCGTAACAATCGGCCGGTCCACTATATCTTTCGCACATACCGGGGCAGCCCGGACAAATTTTAGCAAGCGGTCCGTAAGAAATATGAAGCGATTACATCTTCCAGGGGCAATCCAAACCAATTTTCCGAAATATCCGGGATTTCGGAATAGCGATCCGGGAAAACGCACACAAGTGCGACGAGCAAATTTCATGGTTTCGTTTAATAATAATTATATTAATAAATTGTTTATATAAAATACAAATACTATATATATCATTATATATAAATACAAAAATATAAAATAAATATTCTATTATATTTAATATTAATAATTCAAAATACCGAGATAATACAAAAAAAAACACAACAAAGATATATATAAAACACAAACAAACAAACAAACACAAACACACAACAAAACATCAAACAAACCACATAAAAAAAAAATTTGCTTACAACAAACCTTCTCAAATTAAATAATATAATTGTAGCAATCGTTAATACTCATTATTCTATTTAATTTTCTATTATTCTAGTTTAATCTATATCTAATTCTTTATTTCTCTATATATATTTTCAAAAATCCATAAACAAATAAACCAAAACACAAATATAGATCAATAGTCTTCCTAAATTTAAATTTCAAAAAACAAAAACAAAAAATACATATTTCCAAACTTACCAAATTATTAAATATATATAAATACATCAATTTTAATAATTCTAATACTAATTTGTATTACTATCATTATATAAATAATATATTCATATATATATATATTCCCTATATAATAAAAAATATACACCTCATTTAATATAAACAGCAATAATTAAGTTTTGTATTTATATCATTTGTATCTTAGCCGACCAATATATTACGTCTTCTATGCAAAATTAATATTGCGTCCGTGTTACTAGGTCCGAATCCGAATCTATTC